TGTCTACGTTCGTCACTTTTAACTTTTGAAGGTAAACAAATTACTTGATTTTTAATTTTGGTTTGTTGAATTTGATTTTTCCTTTTTTTTTCTTCTTACAGTATATGGCGGCTTAATGCTCCAAGTCACTGATGAATTATAGCTTTTATTTGGTGAATTTGCCACTTTTTAACTGAATTCATGGGTTTTCAAAAGTTAAAATCATCTCTTTTGTTTGATTAATTCGTTTTACGGAATTTTTAACTTTTGTTTGGTGAAAACATCTTTTATTTTAACTTAATAATATATTAGATTCTTACAGAATTTGCAGGAAATTCATTTTTTTTGGGAGGGAGAAAAATTTGAGTAGTTTTTCTCGGGCCGGCGGTCGGCTTCAACTCCATGATTCGAGGATTTCACTTCATCTGGAAGGTGATTGATCGATGCCCTTTTCTTGAATTATTTTTCGCTCTTTATTTTTTCGATTTTCAAATGGATCCGTGGAAAATTGTCGGTCGTGTTCTATTTTTGCCTCTTCGTGTTGTAGTTTTCCAATTACGGTAACTATATTTTTGCTAAAACGACATTTATTTAATCAATGATCAATTAAGCCAGAATGACAAATAATAAAAATAGGAGGGAGTATAATTTAATAGTACAAACAAATATACATTTAGTACAAATGTATTTTTGTGTTTGTGCATTTATGCCTAAAATAATGGTTAATATTGTAGGGATTGGTTCCAATGCATCCACTTATTTAAAGTGAGGACGTGAGACTCATTTTTAGCCACAAGATTTGGTACATCATGTGTGGCCAAGATTTACTCTTTTCTTTTTATTATTCTAAATATTATTTTGACCCGTTGACTCCGGCGTTGACCGTTGACTTCCGGCGTTGACTTCCGTCGAAATCCGTTGACTTTCGGCGTTGACCGTTGACAACTAACCTTCCAACGAGGTTTTTTTTTTTTTATTTTAAATCAAACAACGCCCCGGAAGGACGGTGGATTGGGCTGGATCCCCAACCAAACAACGAGGTTAGTTTTATGTAGTTGTTAGGCTAGTTCTCTGTAGTTGCTAGGTTAGTTGTCTGTAGTTGTTAGGTTAGTTCTCTCTAGTTGCTAGGTTAGTTCTCTGTAGTTGTTAGGTTAGTTCTCTTTAGTTGCTAGGTTAATTCTCTGTAGTTGTTAAGTTAGTAGTAGCTAGGTTAGTTCCCTGTAGTTGTTAGGTTAGTTGTATGTAGTTGCTAGGAGTTGTTCGCATTTTAAGGGCTGAGCGCATTTTAAGAGCTGATCGCATTTGATCCGTTCTTAATATTGTATTTCAACAATTTCTAACTTCATGCGGGATCAAGTTGTTTGGTCGTAGGTATCCCTATTGTTTCTCTTGGAGCAAAATAAATAATTTGTCGAATAAAACTCGGGGGAAGGATTTTGATGACGCATTGACGTGGTGGGACGTACATTTTATTTTGTTGTTCAAACTTCACAAGGGGTTGTGTTACTTGTGTATCGTCAGCAATCAGCAATAGATCACATCCTTATATTTAGAATATTTAGGTGCTTGTGAATCGTGAACAGGTCGAAATAAAATCAGGTGTAGAAGTTGACCGTTAAGCGTGTATTATCAAGTGTGTGCGTATTATTATTTGATAATTAAACTTATTTCATTGCCAATATGTCCAGTCACACGACTTGTTCACATGAATTTAGTCTCCCAAATTGCTACAATCATATTTTTGTTAGTAAATTATATTTATCTTTATAATAATACATATTAATTAAAAAAATAAATTATTTCTCAATTAATATATTTATGTTTAAAGTATTCTATATATATATATATATATATATATATATATATATAATAAGAATAAATATTAACTAAAAATGGTAGTAAACAATTTTAGGAGCACTAAATGCACATCTTTTTTTTAAAAAAAACATTTTAAATATATGCCTTAGTTATTTCCATATACACGTTTTTTAATTTGATCAAATCAGATCTTATCCAAAATATTGTTTCCTTAAAAATTTCTATTATATAAATTAAAAGATTGATTTTTCATGATTCATGTTGATAATATTTTGATCAAGCTAAATATTACAACATGTATTAAGTTCTAACCATAATATTAAATTTTTTCACAGATATTCACTTTTTATCTAAAAATATTTATAGAAAATCGTAACATTTTAGGTAGAATTTTTTATTCCAATTAATCAGGCGAAATCATGTTGATGAATTAATCTTTCCCAATATAATTTTTTCTTAAGATTTATTTTGTTATGTATTAAAAATAAATTATTCTTCAAATTAATATAATTTACCATTTAATAGAAAATGATCAGATAAATTAAATAGTTTTACTAATGGTTAAAAATTAAAATTGAAATATATTAACTGTTCTTTAGAATTTATTTGTAAATTATTGGCAACCATGATTATTTTTTTATCAATTTTTTCTTACTTTGATTTCTTTCTATAATGAAATTATTGTAAAATATATTTCATTGCAGAGTATGCTAAATTAACTATAAATCCTTATAATGCCAATTAAAAAATCTTGATTATAGAAGGGATTGTGTTTTTGGCATTTGCTAAATCAAAGTTCTTTAATAAGTATTCAAAGTTAAATTCTAAGAAAACATGTGTGTATATTTTGTAAAATATTTATACACTATTTATCTTTAAATTTATTTACATAGATAAATAATACTTACGTGCATTTAGATATTTTTCATTATATAAAATAAAAAGAAAAAGAAGACGTAGAACTTCTATAACTTTGTAAATAATAATTAATATTATATGACAACAAAGTTTATTATAAAATAATAATTAAATATTATATAGTGAACAAGAATAAATAGAATTGTTATTTTTTCTTGTATCAAGGAATAAATATATATACTAAAATCAAATTTATATTAGTATAAATGTGTTAGCGAGATAATATATTAATTATTTTACAAGCTAGTCCTAGCATTCTCATTTTTAATGTCCTGACTAAAAAAACTATGCTGATTAAAAGAGGTAAAAAATAGATTATAACTCAATTGTTTTTAAGACTTAACGTTCATTAAAATAGGTGAAAAATATATAATAACCGTATTGCTTTTTAGACTTATATATATGGATATAGACTGTGAAAATAACTCAATAATATATTTGTCTCGTGCATCACACGGGGTACGTACTAATATATACGATGAAAAATAATAAGATATAAATTCCCAAAGGAATCTCACGTGGAAAAACGGTGGTTTTTTTAATTATGTATAATGTTCATATCTATTCGCATGTCCTTTTTGCCAATTATGTATATAATGTTCATATCTATTCACATGTTTTTTTCTTTTTTTTTTTCTTCGTTTTCATTTTATTTCAATTTCAATACGCCTATAAATTGCCGCCATTACCATATCAGTTTTTCTTCACATATATTCTACAATGATGATGCCAAACAAAGCCATTACTGTTTTTTTCATTGTTATCTTGGCAATTTCATTCTTATTTGTAACATCTAATCAAGTAGATGCCCGCAAACTCCCACCATCAACCATCAAGCATCACATGGACAATAACCATCTTGATCATGTAATTAAACGGTTATTAGGAAGCCGTAGTGGTTCATCCCCACCAGCGCCTCGTGGGAACATTCTCCCCTAAGTGGGTCGTATACTCTTGTTTGATATGTCGTTATGATGCTCGTTAATACGTCTAGCTGGAATTATAATTAAGGGTCTATGTTCCCAAGTTTTATAGCTCAAGTTGTACTATTTCATCTTTTTTTTATGGGAATTGAATTTCTCTTGTGTTTGGT